AGCGTAGTAGTACTCCACCTTAATTAATACCTATTTAAAAATTTCATACCAAAAGAAATTAGCACTTTACAATATTAAAGTACAGGGATGGAAGGGCCATTACCCATGAATATTTGTATTATTATTTATGGTAACTTTTTCTATCAAATTCTTTTCATATATAGTATACCATCAGATAAGGGTAAACAAAAACATTTTACTATTAATTATTCCCAAAGTAACTTTTATCTCAGAACTTTCAGCAAGAAAAGTCTATAAGGAGGAAGATGAAGAAAATGTGAAAGAAAAGTGCACATGCAAATCTCGATTAAGTTTAATTTCCCAAAAGAAAAAAGAGAATTAATATGTTTCTTCTTCTACTGTTACATGAGAAAAAAATTATTTAAATTTAAATAGGTCAGGTTTGTCATGAAGACAAAATGGGCTCCACTTAAGAGCAATCACGTATATATATACAAATCTCCATTCAGTATTTTTCAAACAACCATGCTAGTTTTACAAAGACACATACAAAGATAATTTACACCCTTGATTTTCATGATTTCTCTCTCTCTCTCTTTCTCTTTTTCCCTTTTTTTTTGTTTTTTTCTTTTTAATGATATCACTTTGTAGCCCTCTTTGTATGGGTCTTTGTGACAATAGCATTTTTCTTTTCCAAAAGAAAAAAAAAAAAAAATGGCTCCTCATCTTCTGGTGTTGTTGCAGATCATCTTGTTGCTATGGCCAGTCAAAGCATCACTAAAAAATCAATGTCAAGATCTTTGTGGTAATTTTCGCGTTTTGTATCCCTTTGGAATCGGAGAAGGCTGCTACTCTGATAAGTTTTTTGAAGTAACTTGCGACAACTCTTCTGGCTCTCCAAGAGCTTTCTTAACTAGCATCCATTTGGAATTATCATACGGTTTATTTTCGAAGTGTTTGCATTATTATAATAGCCAAAGGGCTGTTGTCAACATCGATGGAAATATTTTGAATGATCAAAAGAAAATCATTCAAAAACTTTCAGGCAGCCCCTTTTCCCTTTCAAAGACCTACAATATGTTAATTGCCTTTGGTTGTGATCCATCAAATAGAAGCGTGAGTGCTACTCTTTTTGTAATTGTTATCCTAGTAAAAAACATAGATGTTGTGACTTCTTGTGCAGGATTTCTCCAAATCGAAAGTTTGATGGTGGAAACATATCAAACAATTATCCCCAGCTCAAGGAATGCACCAAATCTCCCTTCATGGCTGACCGAGAATGGATCCAGTCAAATTACCTACTAACAAATCGTTCTGTGTTGAGAGATAAAGAAGTTTTTCCTTTAAGCCTTGAGTGGGGAAAAAAATTAGGGAGGGGTGTGGAGCTATTTGATCCTTCCTGTACAACTTGTAATAAGGATAAATTTTGTTTAATTCAATTAAACTCTGGTGATTATTACTGTGTTTGCGATGATCAAAGGTCAGAATACTACCAAGGATGTACAGGTACACAAATCCTTTAAAATTTAAAAGCTTTAAAGTTTAATGCATAATCCAATCTTTTTAATGTGCTTAAATTTACTTGTGCAGGTGACTTGACTTGTAATAGCACAAGAAACAGTAATTGCTCTAAGTGCCCTGGTGATTATGATCTATCTTTAAATGAGAATCAAGAAATTCAGTGTTCCTCATCTAAAAGTTTAAATCAAATACTGATGAAAAGAAATGCTCGGGCCAAATTTTTTATTATCATATGTACGCATATATACCGTTTATTTCTCTATTATTTTATTTAGATATTAATCAAAATATCTTTTCCATGCACTCTGACAAAAACATGTTATATTTATGCATATTCATCCTTGAGTTTGGGCAGGTTGCAGTACTGGGGTTGGAATATTGCTACTTTTCATTGGAGCATGGTGGTTGTATAAGTTCATAAAAAGAAGAAAAGCAATCAAGTTAAAGCAAAAGTTTTTCAAGAGAAATGGTGGCTTATTATCTTATTATTAAAACAGCACTTGTCTTCCAATAATGAAGGTCACATGGAGAAAATAAAGTTGCTTACTTCTAAGGAATTAAAAAGGGCTACCAACAATTATAATGCCAATCGGATCCTTGGTCAAGGAGGTCAGGGTACTGTATACAAAGGAATGTTAGAAGAAGGAAGAATTGTAGCTATTAAAAAGTCAAGGATAGTAGATAAGAAAAAAGTAAAAGAGTTCATTAATGAGATGGTAATTTTATCACAAATTAACTATAGAAATGTGGTACAACTATTAGGATGTTGTTTGGAAACAGAAGTTCCTCTCTTAATCTATGAGTTCATTCCTAATAGAACTCTTTTTCAACATATACACGACCAAAATGAAGAGTTTCCAATTGCATGGGATATGCGTTGACATATCACTACATAAGTTGCAAGCGCTCTATACTATCTGCATTCAGGGGCTTCTACACCTATATATCATCAAGTCCACAAACATTCTTTTGGATGAAAAATATCGAGCAAAAGTGTCAGACTTCGAGATTTCAAGATCGGTTACAGTTGACCAAACTCATTTGACTACTCATATACAAGAGACTTTTGGATATTTAGATTCAGAATATTTCCAATCAAGCTAATTCACTGAAAAAAATGATGTTTATAGTTTTGGAGTACTTCTTGCCGAGCTCTTAACTAGACAAATGCATATTCGTCCAACTAACATCAAAGAAAATAAAAGTTTAGTAGCATATTTTCTTTGTGCAATGGAGGAAAGTCTATTTGAAATCCTTGACTATAAAGTTTTATAAGATTGTAGTAAAGAAGAAATTGCGAAAGTTGCTAATTTGACAAGAAGATGTTTTAACCCATATGGGAAGAAGAGGCCTACAATGAGAGAAGTAGCAATGGAGTTAGCCGGGGATATTAGAGATTTGAGTCATAAAACTTTGGTTGTGCAAGAAAGCTACCGAGAGATTGATTATCTTGATGGTGAGATAAGTGCTAGTCACTTTACAACTAGTTCATCTTCTTATACTAGATCCTTTTTCTGATATTATAACTTTTTAAATAGATGTAGCTCCTGTCCTTTCACACTAATGTTGAATGAAAGACGAGTAGTTTTCATATTTTTCTTTATTGTGTTTTATGAGTCAAATTGAGAGAGTTTTGCAATATGCACATTCTACTTGTATCCTTAATTATTAATAAAAGTTATTAGTCAGTATCCAAATTAATTTCATTAGGTCACTGTTCCATTACATTTTACCCTGATTTTTGTGTTATCCGGGATTTTTGGAGTGGCAAACTAAGGGGGATTGGTAGGCAATGCCAAGGGTTATATCATTTTGTTCCTAATTCACAAATAAAGTTGCCTTTTTCTGATTTAGAAATAAAAAGGTCTATTGGTAAGACTCCAATTGTACCTACTGATCCATTAATAAAAATTCCTTGTTTGCCTTCAACTTTATCCATTGAATTGCATGTTAAAGATGTTGCACTTTGGCATAAAAGACTAGGGCATGTACCAATTTTAATTCTTCGAAAAATGCATCATAACTTACCTATTCAACATAATTTCCATTGTGATGTTTGCCCCTTAGCTAAGCAAACTAGACTGCCTTTTGCTTTAAGTGATAAAAATTCCTCACATGCTTTTGAGTTATTGCATTTAGATGTTTAAGGCCTTATAAGACACCTACCCAAGGACATGCTAGATTCTTTCTTACTGTAGTTGATGATTTCACTAGGACCACTTGGTTATTCCTTATGCAATATAAGTTTGATGTTTATCAAACATTGAAAGACTTTATTCATATGGTTCAAAATCAATTCAATCAAGCACCTAAGTGCATTAGGACCGACAATGGATTGGAGTTCTTTAATCACCAATGTCATGATCTACTAGCTAATTTAGGAATCATACATCAAAGTACATGTGTCTACACTCCACAGCAAAATAGAGTGGTAGAAAGAAAGCATAGACATATACTAAACATAGCTAGAGCTTTTGAATTTCAGTCTAGCATTCCCAATTATTTTTGGGTTATGAAGTCAAGGCTGTTCTTTATATCATTAATAGGTTGCCCACTAGAGTCCTAGATGGCCTTTCACCTTATGAAAAATTCTTTGGCAGAAAACCTAAGTTAGATCCTTTAAAGGTCTTTGGCTACTTGACATATGCTACCAATTTAGTTCTCCATGATAAGCTCACTCCAAGGTCCACTCCTTGTGTTTTTCTTGGCTATTCTTCTACAAAGAAATGTTATATTTTGTATGATTTGCATACTAAATCCATATGTGTTAATCGAGATGTAATCTTTCATGAACATATTTTGCCCTTCACTTGGCATCTATCCAATGAACCGCTTTTCTTAGACACATTCATGGAGTAGGACTTAGACAATCCATTTCCTGAATTCAATTCTTGTCCTAATAATACAAATAATCTGCAAGAAACAGAACCAACAGATTCAGGGTCACCACCTACTACTATTTCATCTCCTTAACCATTGAACCTATACATCACCCTACTCCTCCACTTAGAAGATCTGGTAGACCCACTAAACCACCAATCTAGACTACAAATTTTGTATGTCCAATCCTGCCCAAATCCAACTTAATTCCTACTGTTCAGTACCCTATTCACAATTACATATCTTATACTCATCTTTCTCCTACCTATCAAAAATGCTTGTCTAGTATTTCTCTACTTACTGAGCCTACCTCATTCACCCAAGCATCCAAAAATCCCTATTGGGTTGCTGCTATGCAACAGGAAATTCAAGCTTTGGAAAGAAATGAGACTTAGTCTTTAATTCCCATGCCTCCTGGCAAAGTTCCAATCAGGTGCAAATGGGTTTATAAATTGAAATATAAGGCAGATGGCACTTTAGAAAGATACAAGGCAATGTCAGTCGCCAAGGGGTTTACCCAATGGGCTGGGATTGATTATGAGGAGACTTTTTCTCCTGTAGTGAAGATAGTGACTGTCAGACTTGTTTTAGCTATTGCTTCCATGAGAAATTGGCCACTTTATCATTTAGTATAGATAATGCTTTCCTCCAAGGAGATCTCCAAGAGGAAATTTACATGCATTTACCCCAAGGCTTTCCTAAGACCTAAACAACATGATAAGTTATTGGTTTGTAAGCTTCATAAGTCTTTGTATGGCTTGAAACAAGCCTCCAAGGCTTGGAATACTAAATTTACTACTACATTATTGATGGGAGGTTTCCAACAATCACCTTCAGATCACTATTTTTTCTTTAAGAAGGATCGAGCCAATATTGTCATCCTACTCATCTATGTTGATGATTTGGTTATTACGGGTAGTGATGCTTCTCTTATTCAAGCCACTAAAGACTTGCTCCATTCTCATTTTAAGTTAAAAGATTTGGGAGCTCTTCGGTATTTTTTAGGCTTTGAATTTGTAAGGTCTTCCAAAGGTATTAGCTTGTGTCAAAGGAAGTATGCTTTGGAATTAATAGCTACATCAGGTCTGGCTGCTGCTAAGCCAGCTTTGATCCCTCTTGACCCAAATCTGAAATTTACTACTGTGGAGTATGATCATAATTTTCCTGGTCAGGAGGATCCAGCTTTGTCTGACCCATCGGTGTATCAAAAATTAATTGGTAAGCTTCTTTATTTATGCTTGATTAGGCCTGACCTTAGCTTTTCAGTGAACCTTCTTAGTCAATTTATGCATCAGCCTAAGCAATCTCACCTTAATGTTGCCCTTAAAGTTGTTAGATATATCAAGAGTTCTCCTGGTTTGGGTTTATTTTTTCCTGCACATGGTTTTATTCAACTTCAAGCCTTTTGTGACTCAGATTGGGCTTCCTGTCTTATGACTCGCAAATCTATTACTGGGTTTTGCATTTTTTTTTTAGGTGGTTCTCTATTATCCTGGAAGTCTAAGACGCAGGTTACTGTTTCCCGGTCATCCTCTGAAGTAGAGTATCGTGCTATGGCCTCTATAGTTTGTGAGATTGTTTGGCTGACTCAACTTTTAACTAATCTTGCTTTTCCAATTCAGTTGCCTATATCTCTTTGCTGTGATAATCAATCTGCCATTCACATTGCTTCCAACCGAATGTTTCATGAGCGTATGAAGCACATTGATATTGACTACCACATTGTTCGTTCGAAGCTCAAGGAAGGTTTGATACATCCTACTCATGAGCAGCCTGTTTATGGTCCTCTTCATCGGTACTTGTTGTCCAAGTTGGGAGTGATTGACATTCATCACCCCCCAACTTGAGGGGGGTATTGGATTAGTAGTTAAGTGAGTTGTTAGCTATAGTTAGCTGTAGTTATTAGTTGAACTATGGTTAGCTATTGATCTATGGTTAGCTACAACTATGATTAAGTAAATCATAGTTAACGAAGCTAATATAAAATTGTAAGTGTTCTGTACTTTGTAAGGAAGCTGAATAAGGAATAAAGAAATGTTTTTTCTTCCTGAATCTTCTTCTCTGAATAAATTCAAGAGAACCCTATAGCTTTAAATATAAAGAGAAATGAAAGTGTTCATATGAAGTTTCTTTTTGTGATCTTAGTTTATGGAAAGTGAATTGAATCTTGTTAGTAGAATCCAATAAAAATGTGTTATGTTGATCCATTTTTATGTAAAGTATTTAGCAAATGTATAATACTTGTGTTTTTTGGTGATTTATGATACTTTAAATTTTTTGGAAAAACTTATTAAAAAAAAAAAAAAAGACGTTACAAAGGAATTTCCAAATAAAATTGATTGATTCGCAAAAGTTCAGCATGATAGGTGGGAGAGCCCTAAAGCTTAAGTACCACACTTTGTGGGTATGAGATCCTAAAGTAAATGGAGAGCAGAAATAAATTTTCTAGCCACAATCCCCTAAATCAATTTTACATTAAATTCATTTCCCTAATAAGATAGATATGAAATTTTTTAAAATATTCTGCCATGCATAGTTTATAAATTATTTTTGACACTCTAAGATCTAATGCCAATGCATTTTCTACTAAAGTAAAGTTAATTTTACTTCTTCTTTCAGCATCATATCGTAAATCTAAATTACCCCATAAATACAACAACTAGGCTTTAGCAGTCTCCTAACACAAAGGGAAGATGAGATAAGATTAGTATTCTATGAATGAATCGTTACAAAATTAAGGTCACTGGATTATAATTTAGATTTCCTTATACATCCTCTTGCATAATTTTAAAACTAAAATCACGAAACTTATTCTCAAATTAAAGAACAATATTATACTAATTAATCTATAGAACAGATTAAAAATTTACCTTGCAGTATTGGGAAGATCCACCAGCACCAGCCATCAAATTTTATGTATCATGGTATTTGAGTATTTCCAGAAACTGGGTAAGAATTTTGCGGCGTGAAAAACAAGAAGTATATGCAGATCTAATAAACAGAAAATAGTTTAAATATATTGCTGAAATTGAAACACACCTTTATCCTCTTGAATACAGATATATAACTTGAATTGTTGGAGAGAACACTAACCATTAGAGGTGGTGATTTAATTTTCTCCAATCAAGTGTACAAGTAGAAGAGGAAATTAGTTGTACTTCTTCAGATAGAGAGAGCAATATTGTACTGCCATTTGGATTTTGTACTACACAAGATATTCATTAATATATAAATTTTTTTACTTCATTAATTTAGTACAAAGTCTTCAAGAAGTTCTAGTGCAAACAAATATTTTATGCATATTTATTATATACTTTTTAAATGTCATGGAGACCATCTAGATTGTTAATTTACATCCTCACTAATTTGTAGATGAGACTTATGATGTACCAAAGTTTCATTTATTAAACCAAAGATCTGATTTCCTCTGCAACCAACACAATACATTCATTTTTTTCTGTTATTTCTTTGCTTTAATTTTAAATTGATATTTTGTTATGTATTGAGACCTCTAACAAGTTTCATCAAGTTTCTTGAATCCTTTGATTACATCCCTCATCAAAACTTTGTTTTAATGCTAGATGTAGTTTCTCAAAATAGGGTTTAATTAGTTAACCAAATGATGAATATATATTGAGTTTTCTCTACCCTTTTGACATTTGCCAAAGAATTTTAGAGTCAAGATGTCAATTGAGCGAACTTGACTTGATTATAAATAAACTTGAGTGTTGGGGGATAATGACTTGATTATAAACAAGCCTAAAATATATTAACAAGGGTCTTGAGTAGATCAAGCATCGAAAACGGGCCAGATTGAAGATTTGGGCTACTTGCGGTCCAAGCCCAAAAAGTCTGCTTGATGGGGAGGAGACCTAAATATGTTGACATTAGTGAGCAACTGGCAGGTCATGTGACACAAGGAAATGATCTCTAGCCACCAATGATCAGCTTGCTTCCCACTCTAAGTTAACTTCTCATTACCTACGTTTTGGGAGATTAACTTCTCCACCACTTCTAATTTTTATCAGTCGATATATGGCCATTAGCCACCATCTCAGGTGCTACTATGCCACCAAAATCATAGCAATACAACACTAAAAAGCCTCCTCAAGTTCAGGGGCAAATGCTACATAAATCCCCCAAAGGAGCTAGCAAGGGTAAGCTCAATTTTCACAAATCTAAGTATCTGACTTAAGAATCAAAGGATTCACGCACAAAAAAAAAAAAAAAAACCACTAGCACCCCTTAACCTTAGCAAATCTTATTTAAGTGATCGTAGGATTCGAAATTATTTTCCACTTTAAGCAAATCAACTATAGATGAACCTCTCACGTAGCAACATTTGCCTTGTTTTTTAATTTTTTTTTCACACAAATAGTTTGCCGCTAAAAGACGAGCCTTGCCGAAATTGACCTTTAAGCTTAGGTTAGATGCCTAAGTAGATAAATCCCACTAAAGCATTTTCCTAGGGCAATCTTCTTCGAAAACTACCAACCTACCTATTGTAAGGGAATTTAATAAAACTGCCCAATGGAATAGGTATTTAAAAACATTAAAATTCCCAAATCCCAAGATCAAGGATCCAATTATAAGTGTTTACATGTTAATTTATTAAATAAAATCATTCAAGGCTAGGGTTCTTACCAACGTGGGCGACTCCTCTGAATTCAACTTCTCCGCAAAACCAACTCAAGGGAATAGTTTCTCAAATAGTATCCACACAAAGGTTAATCCCAATCAATCAAGATCAAACTCAATCGCTAGATTGAGTTAATTTTGCAATTTAATTTTCTAGAGTGAGAGTGAGAGAGGCGACTAGAGTTTGATTCTTTTATAAAATTTAGTAGTCATTCATCAACCTTGAAGTTAAGTATATTTTTATATGCATACTTAACCCCATTCCTTATAGGAATAGGTTTATTCCTATTCCAATTTGAAATAACATTAATCCTATTCTTCTTTAGAATATAAATAATAATAATAGGTATTTTAATTTAAATTAATTTTGTAATTTTTGCTAATACTATTTCATGTAGAAATAGTTATAGGCGACAACCTCAGAATTAAGTAAACTTTTACATTAACTTAATTACACAACAAAATTATCAAAATACCCTTTAGTACAAAATGACCAAAATACCTCTCTCACCAAAAACTTTAAATCGTCGTCTTGACTGGGTTTATTAAAGAGATCAAAATTGTCATAACCAATTCCCAAAATTAAGCAACCACATAATTTTGGAAACACGACAATCCACTCCACAAACCATTGATGCATTCATGTTATGGGATTTAAAATTCTTATATGTATGACCCGTAAGCTCTCTATCATGTTGGTAGTGAATGGTATCATGATTGACCACCAATCAATCGCCTCACTATACACAAACCAAAATTGATCTCTATCAAGACATTATGGCCACCCATAATCTTTACAAAATTCATATCAGGATTTTCTTAACTATAAGTTTGATAAGATTAAGAAACATCATGCATATTGGGAAGGGCATCTACAAAGAATAAAGGCATTATTTTCAAATGCTCTATGGAATTCAAGATTTGCCTTTAAATACTTTAGAAATTAAAAGTTTGATATATTGAATAATAGGTAAATAACGTTGAGCATGAGATAGTAGTATCACAATAAATAAAAGATTAAGACAACAAATAATTAATAGGTTTAATATAACAAGAAATGTAAGATGAAACTCTCATTGTCAATCTTTGTGTCTAATGATACAAATCTATTACTAACATTCTATGTTATCAATCCTATACTCAGTATTATTCGTTATGCACTTTGAAAAGCACTCCACAAAATAAAAAATTGGGCTTAGAGGAAGGGACCAAATTCAATTTCAACTGGGCCGTTGGGCCCATAACGCTTATATTAAATCGATCGACTGATTTGAGGAAGAAGCACGAGATCCCGAAGCAGAGCGGATTTTCTATTGCTAATCAGGTAATTTATTACTCTTAATTACATTTTTTTTTTTCAAGATTTATTCAACTGGGTTTCTGATTAATTTCAAGAAAAAGTACTCTTTTTTTTTTTTTTTTTTTTTTTTTTTTTTTTTTTTTTTTTTTGAAGTTTGATATTTCTATGTCATTTAGGGTTTTGTATGAATATCAAATGATCATGCTTTACTTTTGTCAAGTTTGCGTTGTATTGCATATATCTTTAGTCGAATCGAGTTTCCCACCTGGGAAATCTAGTTTAGTTACAACCCATATCATAAGTCAACCAGAAAGTTAGAAATTATTTAAAATTTTTATTTTATTTTATTTTATTTTGGTGAATAATTTTAATTAAACTAAAATAAAGATCATTTTTGGTCTATGTTTTTGGGTTAGTTCTGTTTTAATAAAGTAGTATGCTGTTTGATTTCTAATTCTTTTAACGTGTAGATTTGTTCTTAATTTACTGAGTCCATCACAATGAAAATTGGAGTTCTAGTTTAGGCTTTTCTTTTGCTTTGCCTTGTCATTTCTTATTTTTTCATGAAGATAATAATATGGGTTTGCAAGAACCGGATATGAAAGCATGTTGTGATGCAAATGTGATAATATGTATTTGTCCTTTAATTAGTTTCTTGTGTCTTATAATGCCTCTCGTTGCCAATTCTTACTAAGATTGATAATCGGATAACTAATAATTGCGGTTTGTTCAGCATCGGAAATTCAGTACACAAGTTTCTCAACTGTTTTGACTCTAAATTGATTGACTCAGTGGAAATAATTCTATTAATCTTTTGGGGCTTCAATATGTAGGTGATAAAGAATGGATTACAAATGGTATAATGGTAGACAGGAATAAGCAGTCGAGATACGGCAACAGGACAAGGAGCAGGTACGCTATAGATTATCAAATTGCTCTAGGATTGATATGTCGGTTTATTGCTTCCATTAGGTCGGGTGAAGAAGTGGTTTTTGTTTCTGTTGTTATTTAATCAATGGGTTTAATTTTATGTGTTGATTATCCTTTAGTTAACCAGGACATCTGAATCTGGAAGAAATCTCTAGTGCATTGTGTTTAGTATTCTTTTCATTTGTGGTGTAGGCATATGAGGAGTCTCTTATTGAGGATTTGGCAGAGGATTTTCGATTGCCAATCCATCAGAAGCCAACAGAGAATGTGATCTGGATAACGTGGAACAAGCATCATTGGATACGAAATTGACATCGTCAAATATTGGTTTAGGCTTCTACAAAAAATGGGGTGGAAAGGAAAGGTCTTGGAAGGATGAGCAAGGTATGGTCTTAGAGGAGAATTTGATGTACAGGTTTCAGCTACTGTGACGACAACTGAGTTTTAACAACAATTGTAGAAACTCTGTTCTAGTTTTAACTAGTTACTCATGTTCAGGAATTACTGAGCCAATACAATCTGGATCAGAGACCCAAATTAGGGATTGGAAAACAGAAGAAGATGATTTTTTTACGGCTGAAGAAAATATCCGCGAAAGAAACTTGATATTGAGCTAGAGGAGACTGAGGAGAATGCCAGAAGCGGGAGGTTGCCTTTTAATTTCTAGATAGTAGTCTATAGATACTATAATTCCTAGATAATATAGAGGTTGATGCTTTACCTTTTCTGGAACCCCATCTAATAGCAGAAGACAACATATATAATATGTTTGTCTTTTGACCGGAATATATATCATAGGGGAATATCAACTTTGGAAGCTCTTGACAATACCTGCAGTTTTTATTACCTGGTGGCTTCTACTGCCTGCTTCGTGCACATTATGAAAATTCAGGTGTTACAGAACGTGAGCAGAAAATTCAAACCGAGGTGAAGGAAATACGGAGGTGTTCTATTGTGATCTTTGCAACAAACAATACAAATTGGCTGTGGAATTTGAAGCCCATCTGAGCTCATACGACCACAATCACAGGAAGGTAAATGTTGAATTTTGGTATTGTTAGTTGGTATATGGTGCATTCTTTTTGGTTCTTGCCTAAATCTGCAACAACTTTGTGTGGATTGTAGCGTTTTAAAGAAATGAAAGAGTTGCATGGTTCAAGCAGTCGCGACGATCGGCAAAAACGAGAACAGCAACGTCAGGAGAGGGAGATGGCTAAGTTTGCTCAAATGTATTGTGTTGCGCTTCCCTTTAGCCTATCTATTCTTGCATTTATTTCCCGTTGACTTTAAGTGATGTTTCAGTTTTCTCTTGTTTCTTGCCATCTCCTCTTACATTTTTATTCCTTAATGTTACCTAGGGCTGACGCCCATAAACAACAGCAGCAGCAGCAACAGCAACAGCAACAACAGGAAGAAGAATCTGGGTCTGGTCCAGCCTCCACTGCACCAAAAACTGCTACTGCACTTGCCAATCAGGATCAACGGAAGGCATTAAAATTCGGATTTTCTTCTAAAGGTGGCATTTCTAAGGTACGTCCAACTAGAGTTTCAATCTAATAGTTTCCTAGTTTTGCACAAGAGATCTTGGCTCCGTTTGGTTGCCAATTGGGAATACTACTTTTAGTATTCCCAAAAAAGTTAAACAGTAAAATACCCAAAAATTTTTATTTTTGGGAATACTACTCCTAATATTATTCAACTCTTTTTAAACCCCTTAAATTTGATAATTTAATTAAATACTCCTAAATATTTTTTTAAAAATTACAAAAACACCCCAGTAATTTATATTTATCAGATTCTGGCCACCACTGCCGGAAAATAGCCGGAATCTGTTAGGATGGCGCACTACCGACTGAATCTGACCGATAGTGCGCCGATCTAGCCTTTTCCGGTCAGATCCACGGTGGATCTGGCTTTTTCAGGCCAGATCTAAGGCCAAAGATCTGGCCGTTGACGGCCAGATCTTTGGCCGTAACGGTTTATAACGACGACCTTTTGTTGGTCGTCGTTGACGAGAAAATACGGTCAGATCTGGCCGTCTGGCCGTCGATCTGGCCTTTGTCGGCCAGATCCACCGTGGATCTGGCCGGCAAAGGCCATATCGGCGCACGACCGGCAAGATCCAGCCGGTCATGCGCCAATACGGTGAACCCGGCCACCCTCCGGCGGTGGTGGCCGGCTGTCTGTATTTGACATTGGGTTGGGGGTGTTTTTGTTAACTTTTAAGATTTTATTATAGGGGGTGTTTTGTAAATAAACAAATATAGGGGGTATTTTATAATTTATAAATTCTACATCGTAATACCCGCCCAATTCAACTTTTTTTTTACTTTTTTCAGAAAACTTTTCTCAAAAACGCCCAATTGTGAACCAAACGAAGCCCTTGATATTGAAATTAATTCTGATGAATGGAACTCATCACTTTCATGGACAATACTTCTTTCAGCTATGAGATAACGCTGTTGTTTATTTTGCAGAACTCATCTGGAAGTGCTGCAAAGAAGCCAAAAGTAGCTGTCGCCTCAGTGTTCGGCAACGACAGTGATGAAGAACAATGAATAATAGCAACGGCCACTGCTAGTTAGCAACGTTCCCGATGTAATGATCTCATAACTTCTTGGTGTCATGTAACAGTGTAGTCTCTTTTCAAAGGATTCATGTTAAACTCAAATGTACGAGACTTGAGTCACGAGTATTTATTTGCTTTGTCGGAAAGACTGTGATATACAGAACTTTGTAGATTTCTTGCTTGATTATGTCACCTCCATAAGCTATACTCAAGTCATTCATGGTGATTTTACTGTCTCACGTTGATTGATTCATAGATGGACAAAGTAAGAACGTTTTACAAATGATGATGCTCAAAGCCACTCACCTTTAAGCATGAACATTTTCCCATCTTAATTGTCTAAAGTCTAATCAAATACACTGTTTTAAAAGTCAGACCGGCCGATCCAACCGGTTCGAGTGGGACTTGGTTGTGTGTTCGGTCCGAACTAATATAAAACCCACTATTAGTTAAAAAACTGTTTAAACCCACTATTAAATTGAATGAATAGTGTGAACCGACCGATCGAATTGGATTGCTTGGTAAACTGGGTCAATGTTTAAAATGAAAAAACCCTAAATCTAAGTTTTTTTCACGTACCTCTACTCCAGTCCAGTCTCTTCAATCTCTCAACTCTCTAAAATCGCAACTCCCTTCTCAAAGTAATTGCACTCAATCTCAATTCAACCTGTCAACTCTACTCTCCCTTGGACCCTTGCCCGACAACGGCAGCACCTCTCTCGCTAGATTTCAAAGACGATGCACCTCCCTTCTCCCTTGCTTGACAACGACAACACCTCCCTCGTTGGATTTCGACAACGATGCACCTCCCTTCTCCCTTCCTCAACGACGACAACACCTCCCTCGCTGGATTTCGGTGATGACGCACCTCTCTTCTCCCTTGCTCGATGATGGCAGCACCTCCCTCGCTGGATTTCGGGGGCAACGCACCTCCCTTCTCCTCCCTTGCTTGACAACGACAGCACCTCCCTCGCTAGATTGTATCGCCCGATGATGGCAGCACCTCCCTTGCTGGATTTTGGCGGTGACACACCTCCCTTCTCCTCCTTTCTCCCTTGCTCGACAACGGCAGCACCTCCCTTGCTAGGTTTCGGCAACGACGCACCTCCCTTCTCCCTTGCTCAGTGACGACAACTCCCTCCTCTGTTGGAATCGACGATGAAAACACTTCTCTTGCTCAAAATTGACAAAGACGATAACTCTCTCTTTTGTAAAGATATTTCCACTGTCTTTATTTTATGAATCTATTGCTTTGATGCATAATTTGGTCACTGAATTTGTATGTAAAAAACACTTACACCAAATGTTCTGTTATTTTAATTATTATGTATTTTGTCATTTAATTTATAATGTATGAACACATCATGTTTGGAGACTTTGGATTGTAATTAAATCATGTTGGGATTGTTATTGAGTTCGAATTGGGTAGTAATTAAGTTGATATTCTTATTGAAAATCTGAAATTTAAAAAAAAAAAAAAAAAAAGATATTTTTTTTGGCAATGCTAACATCACCAGTCCAACCAGCCAATCTAACTGGTTAGACCGGTTGACCCAGACAGTAAAGCAAGTTGCCCTCCAATCCGGGTTTTAAAATAATGATCAAATATATAAAAAGTCAAAAGACTTCAATCGGGAGAAAATACCATGGATAGAGTTTCAGATAACTAATAAGAATATATATATCACAAAGTTCAGAAGTGGATTCGCACATAATATAATTACAGATGAACTTGATTATATCAACAATAGTGATCATTAAGAGTCATATATCAAAGTCTGGAGTACTTTATGTTCTTGCCATGAGAGCTAGTGTGATCATCACTATGTTTAAGAAACCTGACAGTAGCCAACTAAGCAGCCTCAGCAAAACCAATTTCCAGATTACCGTAGTCGAAGACGGTGTGATATACCCCCATGAATACATCTCCCAGAATCCTGCATCGACAGAATTTCAGTGATTAACCAAAGGGAGCTGAAACATGAACTGGCTGTGTCAATGTGCGGTTTAGTATGTGTAATTGAAATGTTAAGAAAACATACCACAGAGGACCCCTTGGAGGTGGCACATCCAAAGCCATGAAACCACTGATGCAGACTGTAGCAACACCGTCTCCAGTTTTAAGAATGTACTGAAGAACATGAGCCGTGGCAAACAAAGAGAGTGATCAGTTCATAATATTAAGAATGAGTAAAATCAGTCATTAAACATAAGAAAGTATAATGTACCAGAGTGCTTATATCATAAAGAAATCTAACCTGTTCAGGAGTGAGTTTGAAAGGTTTATCGCCAATGGTGAATGTGATATTTGGCATGTTTACCATGCTGTTACAGTCAATAACTGATTCTCCCATTGGACTTGGTAGGCTCTCACAGAGCTGTTGATGATAATATAGGAAAAAATTTACTAGAGTAAAAGAGCAAAAAATTGTTACTAATACAGGTTTATGAATTTAAACGGGCTAAAGTTCCAACTCACCTGATTTACATAGTCGAGTACTTTGTCCTTTGTTCCCTGGTGTTTTAGTTGATTCTGGACCCAAATAACCATCATTTCGCAAGCACTGCAGAGAGCACTATCCCCAGCTGATACTCTATCCATATTTTCCTTCGCAACCACTTGTTTGATGCCCGTACTGCAAAGATAAAACAAGTTAGTTTAGAGGATTTCTTGAATACATTTAAAGAACTCAAGATCCTTAAGCATTGCTACCACAGAGAGGAAGAAAAGGGCATTTTGTGACAGAAAGGAGAAATGTTTTAGGAAGAAGCACATCATCCAAGCCCTTGTCACATTTGAAAATCTTGGATCATCATTACGAGAAGCTTTAATTTTGATGTTCTAACTTACAAGTTACAGAAAAAACGTTGGGAAAGAAGTAGAACATGAATAGTATTAATTTTCTAACCTCACAGAGTGATTTCCATTGAAGATACATAAACCAAGTTGCGCACATACTTTGTCAGGTTGAACCTGTAGACCATGACAAAGTAATTCGTTAAATCTAAAATGTGATACATTTATATAGATTGTGAAATGAAATGAAAGTGGTAGAAGAAAACTTACCCCTGACACTAAGAGTTCCCATATCAAGTCTCCATACTGAGAAACAACTTCCTTACATTCTGCACTGATAATACCTTCAGCTCCAATGGCATGATTGATTTCAGTCACAACAGACTGACAATTATAAATTATTAGTTGCAACTTTAAAGATGATTACTATTTTATGAAATCACAAGAAGGATATTTGATCAAGCCTGAAGACTTTCAGTAAATAAAGCAACTGTGAAAGGATGAAAAGCCCATACCGTTGGACCAGCGAGTAAGGATGTTCCTGAATCCACAATAGCAGCACAACCCCCCTCACAAATACCTGAGAAAATTAATCACAATTTTCAAATTTTGCCAATTACTATTTTGGAAAAGCTATGGATTTTCCAAAGAAAGTTCCACAAATCACCTGTTGAACAGCCCCCAATAAGAAAATCTCCCATATTGAACTATAAAATGCAAATTAACATAATAATATCAATTTCTGTTCTCATGGATAGCGATGACAAAAATTTCCACACAATTTTTGGGGCTACACACCTGCCAGTAACCTTTCTGAGTAACAGGAACATAAGTGTGCTTCCCTTTAAAGTGCTTTGAATCAACACCACCAAAAACAATCTCACCGCCCTCAGAGGCCTCAGGATCCCTGTTGAGCCAGAACGAGAAGACGTCCTCACTTACAAGATCCTGCTGGACCATATTATACCTGTGGACTTAACCAAGAATCAGTTTATCCAAGACACCAAAGATCTAAATCACCAAACCCGAAGCACAAAGCACCAAGTTTAGAAAAGAATCCTACCATACTGGCACAGCACCCCCAACCGAAATCTCCTGAAATCCAAGTCCAAGTATTCCATCGAATTTTGCCAATACAAAACTTAAACTTCCTTCTCGCGTAGCCTCAATGAAAACCTGAAGAACAAAACTTTACATGCATAAGCATTTCTGCAACCAAAGGACAAACTAATTTCCATAACTCTCAGAACAAGAACCCACTTGATCCTTGACAACAAGATCTCCGACTTCAACATTGTCTTGACTGAAGAAACCAGAAACGGATCCAGATCCATAATTTATTTCACAAGGTTTTCCTGAATAACCACTCAAGAAGAAAAATTTCAGCTTTTTAACCACACAATTATGGTCGAGAAAATATAACGTTCATGAAACCGGTAATATTACCATTCTCTGTATATGTACTAGACTTGCTTGATTTGTACCGTGAATGGAAATAGCAGGCGATCTGCACATAATTAAAAGCTTTTACTAATACTTTTATCAAATACCATAAACAGCAATAAGCCAGAATCAACCAGAACTCACAGAAAAATAGCATTTTGAGGATGGAACCCAGAGATTGGAGCTGCCAGTATCAAATATCACAGTGAAATTTTGCGGCGGCGAGCCAATACCGATCTCTCCAAAGTATTGAGCATCCAAATAGTTCTTCAAAGGCACAAGAACTTCATCTGAACTACACAAATGATTAGGCATAACTCCCTCCTTTCTTGCCACTCTAGCAGCATTTATACTATGAAGATCAAGGCGCCGCTTCTTCAAACCAATTCTCAGTAGCCCACTAGAGCAATCAGCAAGAATCAAGCATGTCAACACCCACAAACAGAAAGCAGACCGAACTTTTCCCTCCATCCTGTAGCAAAATATGACAAAATCAAAAACAAAAATCAGTAATATTGATATGAATCTAGACATTTCAGATGACAAACAACCCTAGCAAAAGGGAATCAATTACTTGATGATTTTTGCCCCAATTCCCGCTTGGAACTGAAGGCCCCTGAAGCTCTCAAGCTGAAGACTTAATTTAAGAAATAAAATCTAATCTTTATACGAATTTTCTCAACTTGATGAAGTTTGCATCAAAACAAGTGAGCAAACAAATCAGTACCTTGAATTACCAAGCACTTCTAACCAAGACTTGAAAAGAAAAGCCAAAAATAAGGAAATAAAAAGCTCACACACAAACAAAGACATGAGATAAAACCCCATTTTAACACAACTTGAGTTTAGAGCAACTAGTTCATGTTCACGTAGCAATAACAATGAAGAAAAGATAACATGACAAAATCACAAGCAAAAATCAGAAATTTGATTACAATAAACTCACAGAAAAGGGCAAAAGGGAATAAATTACTTGAAGATTTTTGCCTCGATCGCTGCTTGTAACTAAAATCCCCTGAAGCTCTCAAACTGAAGACTTAATTTAAGAAACAAAATATAATCTTTACATGAACTTTCTCAACTTGGTGAAGTTTGTGAGTGAGTGTTGGCATCAAAACAACTGAACAAATCAAAATCAAAATCAATACCTATAATTACCAAGAAATCTCATCCAAGACTTGAACATAAAAATAAAAAATATGGAAATAAAAAGTTCACACACTAACAAAGACATCATATAAAACCCCATCACGAAACAGCTTGAGCTTAAAGCAACTAGTTCATGTTCATGTAGTGACGAAAATGAAGAAAATAAATAAAACAGAAGCACAAAAACAAACCTCGGATTCTGCTAAACTTGAGTTTGAAGCCAAGTGAAGATACTAACAGCAGCTTGTTTATGAAATTATGTGATTAAGGGCAAAGGCAAACAGTTATGTCCAGAAAAGTTGGATTAATGCTCAAAACTCAGTTTTGTCAGCAGCTACATTATTATCTGCAAGGAAAAGACGCATGGCTCAGGCTCACTCGCGTTTCTAGAGATTGTAGCCTACTCATAAATATCGACTAAGAATATTGTGTCGTACATGAGATAATGTCGTTGCATGGCCAATTTTTTTACAAATTTTAAAGTGAAAATTTATAGAAATATTTTCTTATTTTTATTATTATTATTTTTTTTTAAGTAGAACCGGTGCTCGGACAAGGGCCATCAATTCAATTTTCAAATTTATCAATAATTTTATTAATTTAATTTAAAAAAATATAACCTCTCAACATTATTTACATGTTTTGGAAAAAAAATATTATTTCTTTCATATTTAAACATAATAATCTAAGGATCCATAAAAAATGAGATTTAGGGTCCATAATTCTAAAATAAGCAAATGCTTACTAAAAAAAATGTCAAACACAAATAAATTAAGGTTGGATTTCTAAAACCAACATGTGCTCACCAGAAAAAAGTCAAACACATATGGTATTATAAAGTTTATATTCTTTAATGAACTCTTTTTATGTTTTTTATTTTATCAATCAATATTCATATATAAATTTTGTGATTTTATTTTGAATAATATTACACTCCAAAATTTATGTACAAAGTAATGTGATGATATTATTATATTTTCGTGTTATTTAATATCGATTATTATGAATCTATAACATTTATTTTTTATATAAATTTATCCATTTATTTTATCTCCTATTACTTTGTATATAAATTTTTATGCACACTTTGCATGTATAATATTCATTAGTTTTTACAAACCAAAGAAAACTTAGGAATAGCAGAGAGAAAATTTTCATTAAAAAGAGTTAATTTTTCCCTTTTTTTTTTTTTTTTTTTTTTTAATAAAGCAAAAACTTCAGTTTCAAGGTAAAAAAGAAAATTATCACAACATTGCAAACGGGAATCAACCATTATAGAAAATAAGTTGTAATTTAAAGAAACTTTATAAACTGTGTAGGTGATAAATTTTGTATTTTTATTTCTTTTATACATATATTTCAAGACAAGCATGCTAAATGCATTTTTATTTTCATATTTTTAAAATATTATTTCAAACAAATATGTCGAAGATATTTTTACTTTTTGTATTTCTAGATATTTTTAATATTAAAAAAAGAGATTCATAAAAGAACACACCCAGTTTATTGTAGAACACAAATTTTGAAGCTAAAAATTGTTAGAATTTTACAGGTCTGCATGTTAAAAATTTACATCTGCATCTAAACTTAAAACTTGTAAAATTAAAATGTAAAATTATAACTTTCATGTTTCGAGGTCACCATATTGTATCACTATCACAAAGGACAAAGTTACTTTCATATTTACAGTTTTATTGAGTTTAGTTAAACTTTGTGTTCAAAATAATCTAATTTCAAAGAATTCCAGTAATATGAAAGTGGGTTCGGGTGGGCTTATCTATGGATTGAAAGAGTTTATTTAAAGTCATAAGCACTTTTGAGAAAAATTTAGATTGTTTAATTGTATTTCAAAAGCGCTTACAAAATTTAAAATAAGTAATAATATTACAATTTATGGGAGAAGCTCAAATTAAGTTTATTTAAAATGTTGAAATTTCAAAAATATTCTTATTATATTTTATAGATTGGACTTGATTTATTCCTATATATTAAAGCCCTTTTTTATTAAATTAATATTAGAAATATCTTTTACATTCTCCTTACCAAACAACTAAGAACTCTTTTCATAAAAGCTATGTTTTTATAAGCTTTATTTCAATAAATTTTTCTTGTATAAGCTTGACTCGAATAAGTTATACCAAAGGAACCCTAATTGTTATTTATAGTTTATGTATAAGAAATGAGAAAACGTTTAATTAGGAAATATTATTTATTTAATAAGTAAATGATTGGAGTGTTTTTCCTTTTTATTTTTTAATTTAAATAAGTACGTAAAAATGAAATGAGGTCATAATTCTCACCCCAATGATTCCATTTAAATACATTTTTACCTCAATAATTTAGAAAATAACATTTTCATCCTTACATTTAACAAAGGTTATACATAATTAAATTAAAGTTTTATTTAGACAAAATATAGGGGACAAGATACTACCCAATACTACCAATAACGTATAGTGGAAATTTCAATGGAAATAACTGGGAAGTTTCACATTAGGGACAAAATAGTGAATTTTATACAATTTAGGGGGAAAATTCGAAATTTTGGAAGTATTAATGGTACATTTGGCATTATGTGTAAAGTCAGAGACTGAATTATATTATTCAATTTATGGTGGGGGAAGACAAAAGTAGATGATGAAATTGCTTATTTAATTTCAAAATTGGCAGATTTTCAAATTCTACCCACGAGGTTTACGAATACTTAAACTCACGGCACTTTTTATAGGAAATCATCANTCTATAACATTTATTTTTTATATAAATTTATCCATTTATTTTATCTCCTATTACTTTGTATATAAATTTTTATGCACACTTTGCATGTATAATATTCATTAGTTTTTACAAACCAAAGAAAACTTAGGAATAGCAGAGAGAAAATTTTCATTAAAAAGAGTTAATTTTTCCCTTTTTTTTTTTTTTTTTTTTTTTAATAAAGCAAAAACTTCAGTTTCAAGGTAAAAAAGAAAATTATCACAACATTGCAAACGGGAATCAACCATTATAGAAAATAAGTTGTAATTTAAAGAAACTTTATAAACTGTGTAGGTGATAAATTTTGTATTTTTATTTCTTTTATACATATATTTCAAGACAAGCATGCTAAATGCATTTTTATTTTCATATTTTTAAAATATTATTTCAAACAAATATGTCGAAGATATTTTTACTTTTTGTATTTCTAGATATTTTTAATATTAAAAAAAGAGATTCATAAAAGAACACACCCAGTTTATTGTAGAACACAAATTTTGAAGCTAAAAATTGTTAGAATTTTACAGGTCTGCATGTTAAAAATTTACATCTGCATCTAAACTTAAAACTTGTAAAATTAAAATGTAAAATTATAACTTTCATGTTTCGAGGTCACCATATTGTATCACTATCACAAAGGACAAAGTTACTTTCATATTTACAGTTTTATTGAGTTTAGTTAAACTTTGTGTTCAAAATAATCTAATTTCAAAGAATTCCAGTAATATGAAAGTGGGTTCGGGTGGGCTTATCTATGGATTGAAAGAGTTTATTTAAAGTCATAAGCACTTTTGAGAAAAATTTAGATTGTTTAATTGTATTTCAAAAGCGCTTACAAAATTTAAAATAAGTAATAATATTACAATTTATGGGAGAAGCTCAAATTAAGTTTATTTAAAATGTTGAAATTTCAAAAATATTCTTATTATATTTTATAGATTGGACTTGATTTATTCCTATATATTAAAGCCCTTTTTTATTAAATTAATATTAGAAATATCTTTTACATTCTCCTTACCAAACAACTAAGAACTCTTTTCATAAAAGCTATGTTTTTATAAGCTTTATTTCAATAAATTTTTCTTGTATAAGCTTGACTCGAATAAGTTATACCAAAGGAACCCTAATTGTTATTTATAGTTTATGTATAAGAAATGAGAAAACGTTTAATTAGGAAATATTATTTATTTAATAAGTAAATGATTGGAGTGTTTTTCCTTTTTATTTTTTAATTTAAATAAGTACGTAAAAATGAAATGAGGTCATAATTCTCACCCCAATGATTCCATTTAAATACATTTTTACCTCAATAATTTAGAAAATAACATTTTCATCCTTACATTTAACAAAGGTTATACATAATTAAATTAAAGTTTTATTTAGACAAAATATAGGGGACAAGATACTACCCAATACTACCAATAACGTATAGTGGAAATTTCAATGGAAATAACTGGGAAGTTTCACATTAGGGACAAAATAGTGAATTTTATACAATTTAGGGGGAAAATTCGAAATTTTGGAAGTATTAATGGTACATTTGGCATTATGTGTAAAGTCAGAGACTGAATTATATTATTCAAGTTATGGTGGGGGAAGACAAAAGTAGATGATGAAATTGCTTATTTAATTTCAAAATTGGCAGATTTTCAAATTCTACCCACGAGGTTTACGAATACTTAAACTCACGGCACTTTTTATAGGAAATCATCAAAAACTATACTCAAAACCCAACTCCATCAAAAGAAATTAACGTCTAGGGATACTTTAGTCATTTAATCTGACATATTTTGTAAAAATAAGTGAAGAAATTAGTAAGTTTATATAAATTTCAAATCTTAATTAAAAGACTTAGGACGTTGAGGTTTAAGGGTAGTTTTTGATTATTTTTTGTAGAAGTTTACAAATTTGAGTATTAACTAAACCTTAGGCATATTTATGAAAACTCTCTTTTAAAATTATCCAACTACAGTAGAACCTCTCTATAGTCATAATATTGGGATCAACTAAATTTATTACTATGAGATGATTATAACTTAATAGAGGTGTAGTTACAAGAATTATTGTATTAATTAAAAAAATTATTGTTTTGATTTTTGATTTTATAATTCATTTTTCAGTAGTACAAATGAATTGAATGAACAGATTCGACAACTTCACTACACTAATGAAATGAATATTAATTTCTTCTTCAATCATCCAAATGAGCAATAAGCCTTGTATGTATTAATTGAAGAAGAAATCATTATTGGAATTAGACAAAAAGAGGAAGGAGATAATTTTGAGAATGATAGTATGAAAATGCCAAAAGTTGGGATTAAAATTTTGGTTTAAACATACTTTAGAAACTAGAAATATTTTGGTTTAAACAAGAAGGTATCTATGTTGGCAACTTATTACGTACTCGCAAGATAAAAGATGTGATAATAACTCTAAAGCATAAATTACTGTCTCAAACAACTTTAGATAAATAGTTAATTTCATCTTAAACTTTTAATGTAACATAAATTATGTTTTTTTGCAATATACATAATTATTATTATGTAGAGACAAGTTTCTTAAGACGAGACCTAAAAAAATTATAACTTATTACAATGTGAAATTTATTCTTATATATGACTAGCCCAA